GGCAGAAGGTGGATGGAACAACTCGTATGTTATGGATCCAAGGTCGGCCCAAGATGACGTTGTATGGTGAAGGACAGTCGAACACTAGAAAAATGGTTTGCTTGTTGACTCCGCTGGTGTAAACAAGCAAAACGATTTCTCCGATGGTGTATTTCTACTCGAAACTGAACCCGACCAGTATTGTTGGTTGTTTGCTAATGTTCATTTCATCCAGCCCCATGGCCTTCACTGCTTCAAGAAAGAGAATGTTTGTCGAGGATCCCCCGTCTATGAATACTCTCTTGACCAAGATGTTGGCGATCTGGAGGGAGATGACTAGAGCATCGTGGTAAAGGGCGGCCAGAGTGACTGGCTTATCATCTTCAAACTGAATTACTTGATTGGTGTGCGATCGAGAGTGCGGATGGACAGATTAGACTTCATGGCGATGGTTGGCTCGGGCGTAGCGCTTGGCTGAGGAATAGCTAACCCCACTGATCTTCGACCCTCCAGAAATAATTGAACATAGCCCTTTTGGTGTTGGTTCGCGTGGGGGTGGAGATGTTTCCTTCGAGCTCATTTGGCTTACTGTACTTTTCCCTTTATCCGTCAATAGATCTCGAAGATGTCCCCTCTTCAGTAGTGCTGCAACTTCTAACCGTAGGGCGATGAAATCCGCGGTTGTATGACCATGTTCACCTCGAAATTCACACCACTTGGTCGGGTCCCTCCTCGCTTCGGGATTGAGCTTGTTTGGCCACTTAATGGTAGGTCTCATCCCTTTCATGATTGCCACGACCTAGGCTGGTTCGACATTAAGGTTGTAGTCTGGAACTTTGTATTGACTCGACCTGAATAGTCTGTTGTCGGTTCTAATAGACGGGTGGTCATATGGTTTTTTTAACTTTATTTAGATTGCGTGGAGGGGGTTGGTAACGGGGCTCAATCGATCTGGGATCTAACCTTCTATCATTTCGCCTTTAGTGACGGTTGTTGTACTTGGCATGCCTCATGCGGTTCATTTCGTCTTCCTCTCACCTTATTTGAATCACTGCTCTGGCTAAGGCATCTTCCATCATGGTGCAGCCGAGCTTTGTCAGGTCTTTGCATAGTTCTCCATCTGGGAGGAGACCCTTTCTGAAGGCGTCTACTGCCATCTTTGGGTTATAGAAGGGGATAGAGATTTTTTCTTTGTTGAACTTGCTGACATATTCTCTCAGCAACTCCCCCATCTTCTGATAGACTCTGTACAGGTCGGCCGATAGTTTCTCGAGTTTCTTATTGTTGGCGAATTGTTCAATGAAGGTGTCGGTGAGTTGGATGAATGAGTTGATTGAGCAGTTTGGGAGGCTAATGTACCACTAAAGAGCTAGACTAGAGAGACTTGAACCGAAGCTCTTACACATGCAGGCTTTTCTTAGTGTTCGGGGTATCGAGACGGCAAACATCTGCTGCTTGTAGGAGGCTATGTGGTCATCTGGGTCGGTTGTTCTTTTGTAAGGCTTCATGCTGGGCATGGTGAATTTGTGTGGTATCTCGGCTAGTGCGATTGCGTCTACAAAGGGTGAATCGGCATAGTAGTGAGGTTGGCTCTTTTTTGTTAGGATTAGCATTTCAGGTTTGCGCCTCATCACTGCCTCTATGTCGACCAGTCTCTTGGCCAATATCTACTCCATGGGAGATGCGGATACCACTAGGTCATCCTGGTTGACTCGATTGGCCACGTGATTCACACTTGGTGTGTTATGGCGGGTCAATCTGCGTGGTGTAGCCTGATAGATCACTCCGTTGTGTGCCGTTTGGTAGCTTGGATCCTCATTCATTCCTTCTAGTTGGTTGACACCTATCGTGACCAATCGGGTGTTTCGCCCCACATGGATTGTAAGGGGGGATATTTGGGATTCGCTCGGTCCATTAGGATGGATGGACTCGAGCGGTATGGTTTAAAGAAGTGGGGGACTGCTCGACCCGCAAGGATGAGCCGAGCCGAGCCGAGTGGGGTTTGGGTAAGGATGATTGACTGAAGGTGAGATGGGATGGCAAGGATGGGTGGTTCTTGTTGTAGTGGGCTTTCTGTCACTTGGACGCCTTGATCTCGTGCCTGAAGCGGATCGACCGAGAGTGGTTATATTGGCGGCCCTCATTCACTATTAGTCAGGGTTGAATCGTCAACTAATAACGAACATAATTGGTGCGACCTCGTGTCCGAGATTGTGGGTATGTGCTCTGGAGTTTGGAGAGGTTGCATAGACAGAATCGAGGCGCGAAACCGATTGGGGTGTACCTGACAAGGCAGAAGCTCAAGATCATAAAACCGACTTACCTTCTCTTTTAGAGATTGGTTCTCGGCCCTGATGGAGGCGTTTTCAGTCCGAATAGTAGTGTTCTCAGCTTCCAGTGTGGTCACCTTGTCAGAGTGCTGTTGCATAAGGATGGTTAGGGCTTCCAGTTTGGCCTCGAGGCCAGGATTAGTGTTATCAGAGTTTTTAGCCATAGATAGTTTCTTTACATAGCAGGGTTTGTGAGACGAATGATTGTCAGAGGCCCTACAGTGGGTGCCAAACTGTAGAAGCAAAAATCTACCTTTGTGAAAAGAGGGATAGATCCCGTGAGGTTGAGGCCACTAGCGATCTGCTGCACCTGCACACGTAAGAAAACAAGCGTGAAGCAGAAGGAAAACACCGAGGTGGTGTCTGCCGTAGGCACTCCGACGCTCAAGTCAGCAAGGCTGAGTAAGGCAAGTTTAGTGAGGGTTAGGGAGAGGAAAGTTTACCAGGAGTCTAGTCAGGGACTGTGACTACAGCTGTAATGCGAAGTTCTCAAGTGGGAACTCCAGGGTCTAAAGGTGCAATGTCTCTGTCCCTTGTGAAAAGACTGACCTCTGTTTAAATAGTGACTGCATGGTCTTTGAATCTTGGTGGGACTGGGAGTCCTTGCAGCGGTGGTCCTCCCAAAGAGTAGAGCTTTTGGCTCCCTTATCTCAATAGGAAAGGGAGTCCTAGCGTGCCTAGGATACGGACCTTAGGCGAATTGGGATATTAATTGACCTCCTTAGTAGAGTTCAAGCAGTACTGTAGTTCATCGACAACTGTGGGCTCCAAGTTGATCGTAAGTCCAGAAGGTATTCTAGGATCAGAAGGCCTGGGTCCAAATGGGGAGGAACTGGGAAGGAACACCAAACGGGCCTCATCTGCATAACTCTGAGTTGGGCCCCATCAGAATTGGGCATGAGCTTTTCAGCTTTGTTGAAGGTGTCTTCGTTTTTGGGCTTGTTTGGGGAAGACATTTTTCGACCCCAACATTACTCAATCATGTAACATATATACAATTTAATAAATTTCTAAAATGTTAATTATTAGTAAATGTGAGTTTTTTGGTGTTGGAGGTTGGAAAAATAAAATAAAACAGTAAAAAATCTCATCATTTTTACAAAAATTATGAGAGTAAAATTCGAAAGAATTAATTCACCTGGTTCTTTATACTTTACAAGGACAAGATTTAGAGACACCCTGACAAAATTTCAAAAGAGACCTCGTTAAATTACAAAATACTCCTGAAAGTTTTCAAAATAATCTTAAGAATCTCATAAAATATTAAATTTATCAATTTGGCATAATCTCTTGAAAAAATACTAAAATCAATATTCTACTACTTCCTCTGTATTATATCTCAAGCTTAAAACTTGAAGAAAAGGGCATTTGCATAATAAGCACTCTGCGACTCCTTCAGTCATGTCCACATCTATCAAAAGGATTTTGAATGTATCTACAGAGTTTCAGCCTTGTGCAATTTCAAGATTTCATTTACCCCTTTGGCAAACCTCTTAACAGTTTTTGGTCCCAGAAATTCTAAGCCAATGGTGAAGGTCCACAAATATCTTCATCTATCAGAAACAACACTAGTTCTTGCCACCGATAGATCATCCAAACTGAAGCTCAAAGGAAACCCCAAGGATTTCTAAGTATACACTAACCTCCCTGATCAACTTTATGAGCAAAGAGACATGGCATTTCGGGCCTGTTTGGCCAAACTTCTGAAACTTATATAGTGTTTATAAGGTAATTTGAATTTATAAATATTTAAAATTTAAATAGTTATGTATTTGGTTAAAATATTTATAAGTAGCTGATAAGTAGTTTATGTATTTGATAAAATATAACTTATAAGTATATTTTATTATTAAAATGACTAAAAATTATATATTTATATTAACTCAATTTTTTGCTATAGTATTATCAAAATATATTTCGATCTTATTACAATATAATTTAATTTTAAAATTAAATAAACAAATATTTTACAGACAGATATTTTATTAAAAAATTATATGAATAATTTTTAGATTCTTTATACTATACAAAATATATTAATGAACAAATATAATAAATTATAATTATATTAAAAAACTAAGATTATAGTATGAAATTTTAATATTAAGTAAAGGTAACGTGATAATATCTTGATACCGATTGGCTTACCGGTTTAACCTCTTAAAAAATACGATTAACTGAAACCGGTTTTTTAAACCGGTTTGTGTCATTAGGACTAAAATGTAAATTCCCTGGAGAGCAAAAGTGTTAAACTAAAACCAAGTCTCTAACATCTTTCACGAACTTTAGCCAGGTGTGTGGGGCCTTCGAGTGAGTGTGAGAGTGAGCTGCGACCGAGAGTCACGGACTGCAGATCGCCGGACGCAAGCTGCAAACTATACGTCTCCATCAAACAGGTAATAAAGAGTAAGGGATTTTGGGGGAAGAGCTTTGCTTAATTTTCTGGGAAGCTGAAGAGCTTTCTCATTCTCTCTCTTCTCCGATCCTTGCTGTGATTATCATTCTGAATGGCGCTCAGAAATTGTTTCTCTAACTTTGGTTAGTGTTAATTTCATGGTGGTTTCAGAAAAATTTGAAAGGGTTTGATCACATGGAGTTGTCTGATGCGTGAGCTAAAAAAAAAGTTGTTTGTTGTTGTACCCTTGAGTCAGAATAAAGTTGTTTACTTTCCAAAACCAAACCCCTCTCCTTGCTCTATTAACTCTTCTCTCAATCACAACTACATCTAATAAAAAAATTCAAAACCGGTTAACCGAACCAATTAGTCAGCTCGGTTAGTAACCGGTTTAAGCATAAAACCGGTCCGACTGGTTTCACTAACTTGACCGACTTATAAGCTTAGAGGAACACTCTCTCCGTACTCTGATTTCTGAACTGTAAAGACACCCACGTTTCATAACACCCATCCAGCAAGTACGATAAAAGCACATTTCTTGCTTTCACACGCTAAGGTTTCGACAATGTCGATTCCAGTGGATTCGTTGCCACCTGCGGACAATGAACTGGAGTTCCGTTCGTACGCGGACGACGCCTGGTACAGTGCGCAATTGCTCCTTGACCGTGACGGTGAGAAGTTGACCGTCAGGTTGCTTAACTTCCCCCCTGAAAATGAAGAAACCTTTTCTGCGAGCAAGTTCAAAAGCTTGCAAAAGTTGGAGGAGTTTGAGGGCAGGTTCCGTCCGGTTTCCGTACAGCTACAAGACAGTGAATGCTCCGAGGTCGTCGCCGGCTTGCGTGTCTGCGCCTCTCACGCCTTTAATGACAACGATTTCCGCTTCTTCGACGCCGTTGTGGAAAATGTCCGTAACGATTCTTTCTTTCTGTGCATTGTGTTTGTGATTATAAATATGTGACCTCTTATTTATTTATTTATTTTTGTCAAAGCATGGCTGTGTTTGGAGATTTTAGTTTTTAATTTTTCTTAAAGTGGAAGATTTCTAGTTTTGATTCTGAGGAGACTTTCATGCTGCCGAACGTAGCCTCAGTATTTTCAATAGTTTTGAGGTAGCTTTTGAGTATATGAGATTCGACTTTGTTTGGTTCATCACTGTATTGTTTGTTTTGGGTTTAACATTGTTGTTTATGTTTGTGGTTTTAATGTTGTATTTTGTATTAAAAAATGTGATTCTCTTGGATTGTCCCAACGAAAAGGAGTTTGGTTGGGACGATTTTTCCAAGAATTGGTGTATGCCTGTGCGGTATTCTTTGGTAAAAGGCGAAAGAATGGTTTGATTATGTTTGGTTCGTTCTCTTGGATTGTCCTGACAATGGAAAAGAGACTGGGATGATTTTTCCAAAACTTGGTGTATGCCACTGTGTGGTATTCTTTGGTAAAAGGGCGAAAGAATGGTTCGCTCTGTGTTCACTTCATGGTGTTTCTTACACCAGCACCAGTTTTAAACATGAGTTTTGCATTTATTTCATCATTGTAATGTGATGTTTGGTTTCTTACAGTGGCTCCAATTTCAAAACTTGAGTTTGCCACGCAGTTAGGAGATTTGTGGGAATACTATTTGAATTTAGAGTAGATTTATGTTTAGATGCTTCTGTTCCCCCTTTTCTAAATATTTTAGTTTCTTGCAGGTGATACATAGAAAACATTCTTTTGCTAGTGGGGAAGAAGAGTGTTTGTGCCGTTTCATACTTTGTTGGAAGCATGGTCCAAATGCTGGTACATTAATGGAGAAGAAGGTCGAAAACATATGCATTGTCCAGTCTAATGTAGAACTGAATCCCCATGTGGCTTCTTTTGCAAAGAGAGCAAGGGAGAGAATTGGGGGTGCTGATCATAAACATATTTCAGCTTCTAATGGTGATTCTGCCACTTGCAAGAGTAGTGCTGGCTGTAGAGAAAACAGTAGCTCTATTGTCAAGCAGAAGTCAACTTTTGACCAATGTTTAATGCGGGTAAGTTATTTTGTATATGGTGGTCTAGAATTGCCCCTGTAAAATTTGCTCTTTGGAGCAACAATTGACACTGTATTTGCTTTTGCAGGGTAAATGTGCCAAACAATCTATAAGTAGCATTTCGTTATGTGAAGGTTTGTCCTTGTTCTTTAAAGACTCAACTCGAGCTCTATTTCCAAGTTCTTTTGGCTCCTAAATTATTAGCTACCTGCACTTACTTTCGTACACTGTAATGCAACAGCAGTCAAGCTTTAATATCTTTGGGTTTTCCATGTTTGTCAGGGAATACTGGTGATCTCCAAGATATAGATATAGAAATAGGAGGAGATGGCTATCACTATATCATATTTCTTGAGAATTTGGAGAAAGAAATATCCCCTTCAACAGTCATTGAGTTCATTCATCAACAAACGAGAATCACACCCCAAGCTTATATTTTTCCAAGTTTGCTATCAGAGTTGTCTACTCGAGGTGCTATTATGTTAGATTCTAAGAAGAATCTTGAGGAGTTATCTAATTTTTTGAGTAATCCAGATCAAATCATCGTATCCTCAAAAGGAAGGTATGTTATGCCATTGAAGTATAATGCATGATTTTGATATTATGTACTAGCTTTCTTTTAATGAATATTTCAGCAACTAAAGTTACCTTTGAGAACCATTTACAACCTGGTGTACTTGGCATTTCAGATCCATATCTTTCCTCCCTTTTCTTTTGTGCAGGCCATGGGTGGTAAATAAGAATTTTTCGAGACATGATGCATTTAGGGCGTCAATAGGGACTTTCATGCTTAATTCTCAGGTAACTTGTTACTTTCATTTTGGATGACTGGGGACGGAAGATCTTACTCTAGGATGTTGTTGCATTGCATACATCTCTTGATAATGAATTTGGCCTTTACAACTCTCCCCTACAAGCTCCTTAGAGAAACAATGATAAAACAGTGTCCTCGCAAATTTTATTTTTCATAACATGCAAACTTCATTTTGGCTGAGTATAGACTCGTCATTTCTTAATATGAATTTGCGCTGCATGTTGCAGAAAAAATTAAAGAAGACAAATGGCGTGGTTAGGCATGAATTAAAGGTTGTTTGTTGTGGCACTGAGGAGTATAGGAGAGCAAAGGAGTTGAGGGATTTATTCATGGAGTTCAGCTGTCATCAAGAGCGACTATTCAAGAGGCTAGCTTTTGAGGAAAGAAAGATCTTGCACCCATCCCCTACAGTGTAGATGCTGTGAGTGGTGTTACACAAATGTAAATGTACTTCACTTACTGGGAAGTGGGAACTTTTGACTGACCTGACTTGTACCTGCAAAATCAATTGTTCAGAAGAAGCATATACTTAGTAATATAAATACAATGTATAAAACACAATCATTAATCTAGTGATATCCAAAGTTAGATGCTTGAGTTTATGTGATCATCTGTGTTACATTCATTATGACATTGAAAGTTCAAGTAGAAACTAGCATTTTCATAAATTCTTCGGTTTTTTAAGTGGTTTTAAAACGGTAATGCAAGGGAAGCCATCAATAAGATACTGATTATGGTGAATATCTTTGGAATTGGGATAGCCAATCCACCAAGATAACCAAGACGTATTCTTTCATAACCTATTCCTGCCAAGAAGAAAAGTGCACCGCTAATAAACCCATTAGAAGTTATTTATAAAATGGCTCCGTTGAGTCCCGTACTTTGTGATATGTATTGAAGATTCGTCGCTAAGGGAAAAAAAATGGCATTTTGAAGATTTAAAATCAGATTCTCAATTAATGAAACAAAGACTAAGGTAGAGGAAAAAAAAACGACGGCGTATACGTATGAAAGCAGAACTTACGTGGTCAAACATAGTAACTGAAATAGAATCCTAGGAGGACACAAAGAGTGAAATGTTAGTTGCCGAGATAACCTCGTACCACCTCTCTCCATCTCTCTTTCAATTAATAAACAAGCATAAAGATTAAGAATATGATTTAGATAATCAGAGGTTGATCGTTTAATATGGAGTTGAAACATGTTATTATTATTATTGTTGTTGTTGTAAGTAGGGTGGGAATAACAGAAGGAATAAGATTTGAGATAGACAGACAAGAATGTCCGTCTCACAATGTTGAATATGAAGGAGACACTCTTCATCTCTCTTTCGTTGTTATCAAGTCTGATACTCCTTGGCATATCACTGACGATGGTGTTGATCTCGTGGTATTTCTTTCTTCCTCTTTTTCTATCTTTTTAATTTACTCTCATCTTAATTACCAGTGTTGTTTAAATCAGTCCTCTGTTCAATTCACTGCAACATCATGAACATATATTCTCCTAATTAGCAATCTGTTCATCTTATGATTTTGGTCACTTGTAATTTTTTATTTTTTATTTTTTTTATTATGTTATAAAACATATTTTCTCACTTCAAAATCTATTGATTACACTCCACTTTGGTGAGATTATCAGATTAAGGGACCTTCAGGAGATCAAATTCATGAAATTCGAGACAAGATCAGTGGAAAATATGAGTTTGTGGTACGCAAGAGAGGAGTTTACCGCTTTTGCTTTACCAACAAGTCGCCTTATCATGAAACTATTGATTTTGATGTTCATGTTGCTCACTTTGCATTTTATGATCAACATGCCAAAGATGGTGAGACATATTTTATTAATTTTCAGACGTTATTATCCACTAAAGAACGGTAAATTATTCTTTTGAATGTTTACAGAACATTTTTCACCATTGCTAGAGCAGATAGCTCGGTTGGGGGAAGCCCTTCATAATATTCAATTTGAACAACACTGGTTAGATGCTCAGACTGATCGCCAGGCAATAGGTAACATTATTTAATTTGAACATCTAAAATTTCCATGCCATTAATCCAATTTGTGAATCTCTAAATGCTAGCTAAGAATTAACATGGTTGAGGATTTCCACGCATATATATAAATCTGTATTTAAGTAGAGCCTTAGCTCAACTTTAATGCCCTTGCAAGCATGAGTTCCATTCTTTTTTTTTTTTTTTTAAAAAAAAAGCTAGTTGGTGGGTTAATCCAGCAAAGGGATTCATTGAACATGGGATCTAAATTGGGTGCATTGCAGTGAACGAAAACATGAGCAACAGAGCACTTCAAAAGGCGATGCTTGAATCAGCTTTTCTCATTGGGGCTAGTGTCCTCCAAGCCTTCCTTCTGAAACACCTGTTCGATCGGAAACGTGGAATATCAAGAGTTTAAGTCTAAGATCATTTATAGTAAGATTACAAGCTCAAATGTTGCTTTGACTCTTCATTAACCTTTCCGTATGGGAAAAGTCTTTTGTGACTTGGGTTGGGCATTATCTTATCGAGAATGTTGATTTATAGACAAAAGTCATCTACCCAAGCTTTATATTCTACCTAAAATTTCATTATTGAATTGAACTCGACTTACTGTTTAATCGACAAGATAGAAACTCACCCTGACTGGAAAACCAAATAAATCTGGGGCTGAAACTAATTGATAAGTCAGCACACTTTCACACAAAGAAAAACAAACCCACTTGAAACAATATAGAGTACAAATACAATTAACAGTGTCAATTCGTGAAATATTGAAAACAATAACTTACCGCTATTACATAAACATAAAAACATTGTTCTTTCATCATATTCTTCCCTAAAATCACATCATCACCAAAACTTAAAGTCACAACAAACAGACTCACTCCAGCAAGACCCATCATAGCTCCTGAAAGCAGCTCCAGTCTTCTGGATCATATGTAATTTATAGATGTATAATGCTTTTCTTATGAAGCTCTCACAAGATAAGAGCTTCCTCATGATTCTGCATGGGCAGCTTGCATACAGCAAAACCATTTTTTCTGCATATCAACAAATTTGAAAACATCACATCAAAAAATTGTTAACATGTGAATTTTAGATCACAATATTTAATGTATGCACTTTCTCAGTTAAAAATGGGGACGATACCAATATATAGTGACTAATACGTTACTTTTAGGTGTTCATCATCTATTGCCAATTCTTAGAAATGGAGGCAAAAATCAATTAATGGAATATCAGTCAATGTCACCGACAGTTCTTCACTTAAATGAGGCCCCTTAAGATGGGAGAATAAAACATAGGTGTTATGTTGTAGAAGCAAACAAATTATGGTAGAAAAAACATTCAAAGTGATATTGCATCTTAAAAGCCAAGCCATCGCAGTACATGATATGAATACTTTCTATAACTCTATAGCAATACACAGTATAAGTAGGGTGGCTCTTGGTCTGACACATAGTCTGATGTCATATTAATTTCAAGCCACATCAATTTGTATGTAAACTATTTTTCTGTATAAAGATCTCTAACAGCAAAACAATGGTAGTCATCTGAAGTAAGAGGTGGCCTTGGTTGAGGAAACAGGGGAAATCAATTTAAGGAGGATTGGTGTATGCGAGAAAAAAAAAGTGAGCACACAGTACTGTGAAGTGAAATTTTCTTTTTCTAGATGATAAACAAAAACCAGGATATGTCCTAACATGGCCACAACCCTAGTACAAAAATGAAGAAACATAAAGGGTGAATGATGAGAAATACTGTATCATAAGCTATAAATGGAAAAAATGAAGGCTAACCTGGATGAAAAAGTAAACCAACATGGAGTATGATTACACATTGAAGTTGGAAGGGGGAAAAAAACGAAAAAAGAAACAGAAATTTCTAGAATTTGATTGAATTGCTGCAACAAAGTATTAAGTTTAATGAAATCTCAATAGTGATTTGGAAGCACTAGACACCCTATCATTTGTGAAAATCCTAACTGGAAAAACAACTAATTAAGGCATAAGCATGGTCAAATAGAAACTTACAGATTGAGGCTTTCCAAGAACAGTCCCGTGTTTAAATTGAGTATCATCTTTTGCAGGTGATTCAGGCTTCCCACCCGTCTTTTTCTCATTTCTAGCCTTGTTGAAAATAACCGTGAATCCCTCAGCTGATGCTGGGTCATTAACATCCCATTCACCAAACTTTGGCAATGGTTGACCTTTTTCCTGCAGATATCATGAGGGGTCAGACATCTAAGAGGAAACTTGCAACAAGTGGAAAATTATTACGAATAATGCAATCTCCATGTGTCCATAAGCCCAATAAAACGGCAATTATAATACATATAACCACATACGACTACGATGACATGTGATTATAATGTAGAAATTATGTTGCTAAAATCCAACCCGAATCCTCAAGAACGAGAACAAAATTTTTCTCAACGAGCACAACTGAAATTTCTTTATCTACTAGAAGAGAAAGCCATTATAATACATTAACAGAAATTAAAGTAGCACTGGATGAAAGCAGTAACACACCACACAAGCATAAACTGATAAACACAATCTATCAATAAATAAGGGGTTAAAGAGCAAATAGTATAGATAAAATCATATTATAAGAAAACCAAACAAACAAAATAAGAGGGAAATAACATTCAAAATGGGTATTATAATTCATGAAAATTCAAAACTATTAGGCAACAGACCTCTCATAAAGTTTTAAAAGTCATCATTAATCTCCCATAAAGTTTCATAAGTTTTATCAAAAATTTCCAAATCTTACGGAAATCCTCAAAATTCAGAAGAAATCACAAATATCAAACACCTGAACAATAAGAAACCATAAATCTTTACATATACTCAATACGAAACCCCGGCAAAATTGTCAACTTGACCAAAGCCAACACATCTACAACACGCTGAACATATGTGTTTAATTTTAATTTCAAAGACCAAAAAATAGAAGAAAAGTGAAAAATTCATCACCAAAAAGTGAAAAAGAAAAAAAAAGACTTAAGAGCTTACAGCCATGAACGATTGTTGTAGAGGAGAGATTTGAGAAGAAGTGGGAAGTCGTTTTCGATGGTGGTCAGTTGCGTTCTAATAAGGTGGTGTTGTGTTGTGTTGATAAAGAAGAGCGAAGGAGAAGAGGAAAAAGAAAAAAAAAAAAAAAAGTGAAGTGGGCCAAATGGGCCCAAAGACAAGAAATGTTGGGATGGGGGTGTGAGGACCCACCAAAGTTGAACGACTTAAAACGGTGTTTGTGTTTGCTTCCATTAATTCCAGCTATGCATTTAACCACTATTCACTAATCACACCATTCAGGGAGCTTCCATCTCCTACTACCTGCCACACCATCCTATCACTCGTGTTCACAGTATTACCATGCGACCATGTTTTTAGTAATTTAAAGCACTAAAACATCAGTTAGACTTAGAAGTTATCTAAAATATAGTGGAAATTATACATCACTAAAACATCGTTATTTGTTAGTGGATTGTTTGTTGTATTAATAGTATAATATAACTGCTGCTATAGAAATAGAATTATAACTAATAATATAACGTAGTGTGGGTGACATATTACACTCTCGTTTGTTTGACAGAGCTTATATAACAACATTTGGTTTAATTCAGTTAGTTCATGTAGTCCAAGAAATTACAATCACCACCACTACTTTTGGTTATTTTGAGATAGCTGATGTAATCGATCACGGCTGGCATACCGCAAGGCATATTTAGGAAATCTTAAAAAGGGTAAAAAAGAAAAAATGATTCTTGCCCTTATGGAGCCAGTGCACCAAACACGAATTGACATTCGCAATCAACAAGAGTGACTTGTGAGGGACCCCAACAAGTCTTTATTTCTATCAGCTACAGTAACTTCAATGGTTCTACGAGACTGGAGTCACTATTTAAGAGCATCTTATAACGTCATAATCCATAAATACAAAAATAGATTGGTGACTTAGTTTGGAACGTCTATTTGATTGGTATCACAATTCACAGGACATTCACAAGCAACTGTTTAGGGAGTTAAAGCAGTAGATAATTTATTTATGCAACAGGTCTAAATTGTGGTTGACCTCTTATGTTGAATAGAAATATACAAGGCAAATATAAAATTTCAATTTGCTTCATGCTGGTCAATTTGCAGCAGAACTGATCAATCTTATATAATTCCTCTCAATTGTTTCCGCAAACAAATTCTTGGCTCTATGGTGATAATCAAATCTCATACCATCTACGGAACTTGTATACACGAGTAGGGAAGAAAGAGAAGAGAGAGAGAAAGCAGCAATGGAAAATTATTATCTCCCTACAGCTTAATACAAATTCAGTTTTATTGGAGAAGGAAGCAAAAATGAAAAAGAAGCGGAGATAAAATTGCACAACAATCTAACTGTGATGACCGCAGATTCATCCCACAGAAGAAGACCCATGCTCATTTCTATCCTGAACCACAGACAAGTAAGAGTCATGTCTCAGACAAAGAGATAATGCACAGAGTTCAAAAACATTAATACCCCACAAAAAATACCAATCTTTTAAGCAGCCGAAATCTTTGAGAAAAGGCGCAGAGTGATCCCATGAATGGAAGAAAGAGTTGTTATCTTGGGTAATTACACTTAATTTTCATATAAAATATGCTCCACATACTTGCAAGTTAAAGAAAGCACATCTGTTGCTAATATAGTTATTGATGCCTGGGTTTATTATTGTATTTTCTCTCGTAAAAAAATAAAAAAGGAATCTCCTTGGCAAAAAGCACAGCCTAATTATGTTTATAAGTAATATTTATATGCTCATCTAAATTGGAAATGTATTATGCATGACACTTACCTAACATAAAGCGCTCACACAAGCTCTAAAACAAGTGCTGATGCACCACCTCCTCCATTGCAAACACCACCAACACCATATTTCCCATTTTTCTGCCTCAATACCTACAAGTATTCATTGATGAAGACCACAGAACGCAAAAAATCGAACATAATAATAGAGTAAATATTGTAAATAACATACCCCCAAAAGTGTGACCAAGATTCGAGCTCCACTGCATCCCAAAGGATGTCCCAAGGATACAGCTCCACCATGAACATTAACCTTATCCTGTCAAAAAAATAAGAAAAGATCTTCACTAAAAAGAAAAGACAATTTTCGGAATATTAGAGTAGATGCTTAATGTTCTGACCGTAGGTGTTTATACGTCAAAACATAAACACATTCAATTAAAAAAAATAAGCAAATGCTTGCATATACACTTGCACAGGGAAACAAACACACACAGAGATGTGAATAAGTTAGAGAACTCACTGGATTAAGTCCAAGCAATTTCTGGTTTGCAAGGGCCACAACCTTCGAACAACAATGAAATAATTTAAGATCAGCAAGCTCAGAAGCTTGACAGGGAAACAATGTTAATATCATGCATAAAATCTTACAGCAAAGGCTTCATTTATTTCATAATAATCAACTTGAGAAGCATCCAAGCTAGCATTTGAAATAGCTTTTGGTATTGCAAGGGCTGGAGCAGTTGTGAAGATCTCTGGTGCCTGCAAAATAATATCATATGAGCATCAAGTCATGAAAAGTAAAAATAATAAAAAGTTAATATAAATTATGTGAAATATAGTCACTTTCCACTTAATAGTATTATAGTCTACTAGTCATTCTAATAACTCCTTTAGATTTACATCAGTATGCAAAGTACCTGAGCAGCATCAGCATATCCTGTGATCTTTGCAATCACTTGGAGACCAAGTTTAAGTGCCATCTCTCCGCTCACTAAAACTAATGCCGCAGCCCCATCACTGTCAATAAGAGCAGTTTCACTTTTAGTAGAAGGTAGGTTTCAAGCCCTTGTACGATAGGCATAAACCCAAAATGTGAGCCACTCCATACACTACCATGGATTAAGATGCTGAACCAGTAATAAAGGTATTTTCTGCTTATTCAAATTAAGTATTTCACAAAGGCTTAAAAAAGATATAGCAGATTCTTAGTAGCTTTAGGTTACAGAGAATCAAACTGCAAACAAGACTCTAGCATAAAGAAGAAGCCACCATTTAAGTGGTTCCACTGTAATTATGGTTTAAATTTAAAAAACATGCTACAACTAATTAGATAAGTAAGATTTAGTTTAAAAAATAAATATGCAATGATAAAGGTAATGAACCTTATACTAGAGGCATTGCCAGCTGTAACTGTGCCTCCACTCTCCTTGAAACTTGGTCGGAGCTTCCTCAGTTTTGCAGCGTCAAACTGGAATAAGATAAAAGAAACATATGTAACATCATTAAACAGGATGTCAGATGTCATTAACTGATTTTGCATACTCATATGTTCATATTCCTTTAATAGGGAGGGAAAGAGAGAGAACAAAGCAAAATAGTTTCAGCACAAATTACCTTCCCTAAACCTTCATCTTTATCAACAATGGTTGATGGCTTTCCCCTTCCCCCAGAAACTTCAACCTGCATTCAACTGAATTCAGCATGCAAATATGCATAGGAAACCTACAGTAGCACCTATCTAATTTTAGTTAGATGTCTAACCGGAATGATTTCCCACGCAAAAGCGCCAGCATCTTGGGCAGCAATACCACGCTCAAAGCTCTGAACAGCAAAATTATCCTGCAGATAACACAAGGATATGAATTGGGCCAACTTCTAGACAGGCAAGATTAAAAGAAAATTTTGTAGAATGAGTTAAGCGAATTTAATCTAAGGATTATAAATTGCCATAAAAGAAACTTTATGAAGGTAATAAAAAGAAACTTTACGAACTGGTCCAGCTGGTAAACAATAGAAGTAATATTATACCTGATCCTCCCTTGTTATTGCATGTTGATCAGCACATATCTCAGCACAAGTTCCCATGCCACAATCATTATAAACATCCCATAATCCATCTTTTAGCATTCCATCAACAAGAGAATCATGTCCAAGTCGAGACCCTTTCCTGCATACAAATACCGAATCAGAAATCTCTGAGTCTCAAAATAAAAGAATGATGAATGATAGAGGGATACAAACCTTGCTTCTGCCAAGTATTTAGGTGCATTAGACATGTTTTCCATGCCACCTGCCACAACAACATCATTGATGCCCAACTGAATACTCTGTGCAGCAAGCATTGTAGCTGCAACAATAAGCACAAAAATGTCAATATCCTTGAATGCAATTACATTAAGAATAATGCATATAAAAGACTTTTTTAATGTTACAGTATGCACCTTTCATTCCAGATGCACAAACTTTGTTAACAGTAGTACAGACCACTGAACTAGGAATTCCTGCACCCAATGCGGCCTGTCTAGCAGGAGCCTGCCCTAGATTTGCGCTGAGAACATTGCCAAAGTAAACTTCTTGTACAAGACACGGATCAACATTTGCTCTATTAAGGGCAGCTGCAAGTTGATGAAAACAACAATCAGAAACAAATGAGCTGAAAGAAATGACCGAGAGAAAAAATGATTCAACTGAAAAGGGAAAAAGAAAGAAGAAGAAAGGCTATATTCTAACCTTCAATAGCAATAGATCCAAGCTTGGTAGCGGGCAAGGATGACAAGGAACCAAGAAATCCACCCATGGGTGTACGTGCAACCCCAACGATACAAACATCTGCACAAAATAAACCAAAAAGATTGAAAAAACCAGCAAGCATCTGAGCACTTTTAGATTTCTACCAGGCTTTAGACTTCATATTTCCATAATAAATATTAATCAGCCACATGATTTTAGAGCAAAAACAATACCTAATTCGAACATAAACCACTCAAAGAGGGAACAATCATTTTAATACAAATTACAGAGACTTCAACATAAAACCAATCATCCATGAATTATGTAGATTAATCAAAAACAAAATAAATACAACACCTCTAGGTTTTATCGAATCCGAAGATGCTGCTGCTGGAGCCATGTCAACTTAAATGAAAATCAGCTGCAATAATAATTTTTATTCACTTTCAGTGAGCACAATACATATGAGCCGTTAACATACATATATATATATATTATCTTATTCTGCAATTCATAGCAAAAGCATGAAGTCGCTTAAAAGATAAACAAATAACAAAACAAAGACAGGGTTACTTCTCCCTCACTTTTTTTTTTTTAAACAAACGAAGCACAAACAATTAGTAGTTTAGAAAATGGGAAAAAGAAAAACAAGAAGAAGAAGAAGAAATAAACTTTAGATCACGTCCAAACTAATCTGATAATTAATTATTACAAAATCTGAAAACATTAATTCCTAGTTTATATATACAGTAAAAGAATAGAAATAATCCTATATTTGTACCAACAAATGCGTCCATAACTAGCTACCAAACCTTCATTTGACGGCCGAGAAATGCAAGAAAATTGAAACTAAAACAAAAACTGAAGTTTTCTCGGCAACTAAACATAAACAAAATAAAAACAAAAACAGCAGAATCTAAGTTGAAAAAACAAGAAATTTGCATTTACAATACATTTTTTTGGTCTGGAGATTCTCGAAAAATAAAAAATATTCACAAAGGACGATGAAATTAAAATTTACCAGCGTTGTGTTGATTGCGAGATCAGGTCAAGAATTATGCTTGTGAGGGAGATGGTGAGTTGAAATTGAACTGGAGTGAGTACATATATATAGAGAGAAAAAGAACAGGAGGAACAGTATGAGCACGTGGCACACGCAGTTGCACATTTACTAGTTTGGCCTCTTAAATGAACTTTATTTACCGCCTCCACAAAGCAAACGTTAAAAAGAATGTTTGGTGCGGGGGAGATCTAAAACCGACTTTTAAAATTAAAATATCAAGAGAATATTGTTTAAATTTAAAATTAATATTTTCAAAATTAGCATATTATCTGTAGAAAAATGTTTAGCATTATATTGTGTGTTTTTTTCTTTAAATATAATTGGAATGAAGATAATTCTGAGTTAGAAAAGTTATTTCTAAAATTATACATGAAAAGTTCATTTATAAAATTATGTAAATTAAACATCATTATATTGAGTGGCCAAAATAATATTAATTTATTTTAAAAGTCACTTGTTAACTTAACAATTTTAGTAATTAGATTCAATGAATTGGAAATATATGACATTAAATGTGTAGTATTAATGGAAATGGAAATGTAAATATTATTTGAATTGAATTAAAAGGGTGTATTACAGATATAGCAAGTGACGATGTACATAAAAGTAAAAACAGAAAGGGCCAGCAAGAAGCAGCGGAATAGTGTTGTAAATTAATGGAAACGACAAACAAGACCCCAGATGTATAGACTATAGATACATTATTATTCTCTGGTGTGTCTTTTTTATAACCAAACCCGGCGATAACATCAATGTGCAGCACAAACCATTAAACCATTAAACTCCAATTCATGGCATCTTTCCTTCCCCTACCCTCTCTTTTTTTTTTTTTTTCAATGGGTTCAAATTAGTTTATACGCACTTTAACTAATTTAGTAAGTGGTTTCAAAATTTGAACCCAAAAATTTAAAAAAAAAAATCTCATTAATAATAAAGTCAACCAGTCAAGGTTCGTAGCATCTTTGTAATTCTACAGCAAATTATCACAATTCATTTTTAAGTATGGTAGTAGTTGGCTTGTTTTACTATTTCTTGGTTGTATTTCCGTTCAATTTGCACAAATTAAGTGGTACCTGATCCAACTCCCACCAACTTTTGGTTGGCGGATGATAGTTTTGTCAAATTAATTCTCATCCGTCAGCATTCATGATGTGACGTGTGGAATTTTTTAAATCTCCCTGTTTAAAGTCTGTCTAACATACGAGACAACAATTGTTCAGAGCCTTCGTTGACTTGAGTTTTCTTGATTATCACAGCCCACTGTTGTTTGTTTATTAAACTATTATGTATATTCAACTTACTTTTAGCAAACAATTATGGAGTTTCTCCTATTTTTGGATCTTTTAAAATAAATTGTTTTTATTACAATTATTGTGAATATAGTGCCCCTAAATACTGCACTATGGCATAGATTTATGTTAGTGAGATATTTTTGTAATTTTGTGGTGGTGAGAAAATGAGTTTTTAATTTTTATTTTCGATATAATGGTTGTAAACATTGAATCAATTATTGTTAATGTACAGTTGAGATGTGGATATAATTTAGAACATATTCGTTTAAAATAATGTTTAGTAATTCGTTGGTTGTAAAAATATTTGTTGGAAAGTTGGTTTTTTTTTTTTTGAATGAAATCCAAAGCACGACTCCCAAGTTTTTAAAATCCTAGGTTTTCAAGAGATTGTATGAATTCATGTGTATTTGAAATTATAATTTTATCATATGTATATTTTGATCAATAATATAAATTTATTAAATTCTAGTATTATTTATACCATGAATTCTAGATTTTGTGAGTGTTATTACTCCACCATCCACCGCCCACCCGTCTAAATATTTTTTTGTTTGCATATATAGTTTATTAGTTTTACATGTTCTTCACCTGTTGGTACTGTTACTTTATTGGGTACTGAACGAGTTGATTGGAACTAAACATTGTCCATGTGTACAAGTTTGTTAGGACCATACATCAGTATCTCACACTCACCAAGTGTGATACTTAAACCTAGAGGCTCTCCCGCATATCAAATCAGTCTTTAGGTTAGGCTCTTCCTTGGGTTTAAGTTCTAACATTGGTGCTCTTGTTGAGAGTTGGGTTGCGAAACGGGCTACCTATAGGCTAGATTAAGGTGCAGTATGCTCTCCTTGGGAGGGGGTGTTGCATCGAATAACTAATAGGTGAGTGAAGCCATCCAAAGAGGGAAAGGGCTATTGTCGGGTTAGTAGTGTCAATAGAGTGAAAGTTGTCCTGTCATTGACGTCGACTCTTGAAGGGGGATGTAATGTTAGGATCCCACATCGGGATCTCACACTCACCAAGTGTGGTATTTAAGCCTAGGGACTCTCCCACCTATCAGGTCGGTCTTTTGGGTTGGACTCTCCCTTGGGCTTGAGTTCTAACATTGGTGCTTTTCGTTGAGAGTTAGGCTGCGGAAAGGGCTACGTATAGGCTAGATTAAGGTGCAATGTGCATTGAATGACTGATAGGTGAGTGAAGCTGACCAAAGGGGAAAAGGGCTACCGTCGGGTCAGTGTTGATAGAGTGAAAGCTACCATGGACGTCGACTCTTGAAAGAGGGTGCAATGTTATGATTCCACATCGGGATCTCACACCCACTAGGTGTGGTATTTAAGCCTAAGGGTTCTCCCACCTATCAGGTCAGTCTTTTGGGTTGGGCTCTCCCTTGAGCTTGAATTCTAAAAAAGTTTCTATATTTTTCTATGTTGAAACTCTAATTTTTTTTTTTCCTTAAAATGATTCACATAAATAAAAAGGCTAATGCAGACGTGCTCATATTAGAATTTGATGAAATATGAATGTTATTATTGTAGTTAATTACTAAGATTATGTCAATCACCCTGAATCACTCAATCAATCTATTCATCGAAAGATTTCTCTTAGACATAACATTTTAGTTGTCTCTCTTGTCCTTTAAAAAAATCTCTCAAGTATACTCCGACTCTCTTCAATTATCTTTCTTGCCCTCTCAAAAATCTCTTTCAAGCATACTCCAACCTTTCAATTATCTCTTTTGCCCTCTCAAAAATATCTTTTAGACATGCTCAAACTCTCTTCAATTACCGCTCTTAGGGCATCTCCAATGATGCTCTTTATTTTAAATAGTATATTTCATATAAATAAAAAGCATTTTCATTAATTTTTAAATATAAAGAACAAAATTTTTATTCAAATCTAATACACTTTTTTAAATTTTAAGAGAGAGAATATGTTTTTTCAATAAAGAAACTTAATAGGAGAGATAAATAATAATAAAGAAACTTGTAATTTATTATTTAAAATTAGGATAGAGAGTGAAATTTGACTCTCTAGATGTGAAGAGTCAAACTTACTCTTTAATTTATATTTAAAGAATAAAAAGTCCGTTAGACTCTTATTTTTATAGATAAACTCTTTATAATAAAGAATTTGAGTCATATAAAAGATCATTTGAAGATGACGTTACCTTCTCAATTTGACACGATTCATTATGCCTCACTCGGAAAATCTATCCATTGAGATTGTATACTTCATCTTCCCATCAAAATGTTTACTTAAGTGGGCCGAAAGCCCAAACATGGACGACTATTATCCGTCTCCTCACCTATAACAACATGTTTTTTTTTTTTTTTAATATAAATATTCTTATTTCGATTAAATTGTTTAAATTCTTATTTCAAAAAATACAAGTTTATGATATAATAATGAAAGAATAAATCTTCATCAAGCATAAATAATAATAAACACATATCATAATGTTCTTAAAACTTAAATAATTTAACATAAGAAAATTCCTATCTCCTACTCTGTAAAACTATTAAATTAAGTTAATTAACAATGATTCTGAGATTTAATTTGATTAATGTATACTTATTTTCCATGAGTAAAGTGTTAGGGCCAAAAATCGTCTTGGGCTTGACGAGGCCCAATAACGAAATAAACATGTCATGACCCAAAGCAATCCCGATTGGGTCTACGCTTAAAATCACCTTGCGAACTATCCACTCTATGCGTTAAGCTATCCTATAAGTTAAGCTAATTTGGGTTTCAGCCCATTGCCTGCAACAGTCTATAAATAGAAAATCAGAATCCCATTCTATTTCCTCTTCTACTAAGATTCCAAATCTTACTCAAACTATTAAACTTAATCTGATAAGGTCAAGAAATCATATCTCTTTCATGATAGGGATTATCTCTCAAATAGGACTTAGTGTCCTACTAAGATTCCAAATCTTTTTTAAACTATTAAACTTAATTTGATAAGATCAAGAAATTATATTTCTTTCTTGATAGGTATTATCTCCCAAAAAAGAGGACTCAATGTCCTACTAGGATTCCAACCCCTTGGGTTCACTATAAAAACAGAGGCTTGCCCTCTCATTAAGGGGCAATCTCCCTCCCATAGTCAATCTACACTACTCAAAACCATCTATTTGCTCCTAAGTTCTTGCTCTCAAGAACCCGACGCCTCCGACAAGACTCTTGGTAATTCTTCATCTCATTAATTCTTATCAAATAATCTCTTTCAGCCTCGCTGTCTTGAGCATCGGAGTGCCTACGGCAACACCATCTCGGTCTTTTCTGGAAGCTTCATGCTTGCCCTTTTATGTGTGCAGGTCTAGCGGATTGTCAGTGGCCTCAACCTGACGGGATCAGACCCTATTTTCATGACGGTAGATTTTTTGAATCTACAGTTTTGCGTCCACCGTGGGGCCCTGACAATCATCTGCCAACGACAACTTACAATATGGGAGGCGACACAGAACTCCTTTTGACTGACAATGTTAATCAGAAAATCCCATCACGATAAGAATTTTTCTTTTCTTTTCTTTTTTCTTCGTTTGTTTTATCTATTCACATGCCATATTATATCTATTCGGCATATCGTAATTTATTTTATATTATATCCATTCAGTGAGTAGTACAAGACCTTGAAGCTCATATTATTGTTCTAAATTAATAATAGAATAATAATGTGTCAGAGTTTAAAGTGGTGTTCCTAAGCCACTCGATTCA